GGAGGAGGAGGAGGAGGAGGGAGAGGAGGAGGAGGAGGAGGCAGAGGAGGAGGAGGAGGAGTAGGGAGGAAGGAAAAGGGGGGGAGGTAAGTTGCTTGACGCGGGGCGCTGCATCTTTAAAGCGAGGGCCCAACACCACAGGATGGCTGGGAAAAATATACCAAGACACCCAGATCCGAGGCTGACTGACCCGTGGCAACGAGGTGTTGCTCAGGAGGCCCAGGGAGGGCGACAGGCAGAACATTCTTTCTTCCCCGCTCCCTCTTTCACGACACCAACATCCGAGGGCCCTTATCGCCCTCTTAGCGTCCTGCTGGTCGACGTCAACCAGCGCCGCCGTCGTCGCCGCCGCATTCGATGCCCGCGGTCGTCCCAGCCACCGCCGTCCTTTCCGTCGTCGTCGTCGACGTCCGCCGCCGCCGCCGCCGCCGTCGTCGTGGTCGTCGTCGTCGCCGTCGTCGCCGTCGTCGTCGTGGTCGCCGTCGTCGTCGCCGCCGTCGTCGTCGTCGCCGTCGCCGTCGCCGCCGTCGTCCGCCCTCCCGCCACGGCGGGCCGCCTCCCGGAGGCCTCCGGCGCGGAGGCGGCCGCCGCGTGCCGGGAGGCGCGCGCGCGCGCCCAGGAGGGGGTCCTCGCCTTCGCCCTCGTCGTCGCCCTCGTCGTCGTCGTCGTCGTCGTCGTCGTCGTCGTCGTCGTCGTCGTCACCTCCTCCTCCTCCTCCTCCTCCTCCTCCTCCTCCTCCTCCTTCTCCTTCTCCACTCGTCGGCGCCGTCGTCGTCGTCGTCCTCCTCCCCCTCCTCCTCCTCCTCCTCCTCCTCCTCCTCCTCCTCCTCCTCCTCCTCTTCTTACTCATGCTCTTCCTCCTCCTTCTCCTTCCCCACTCGTCGGCGGCATCGTCGTCGTCGGATGGGCTCATGCATTTCGCTGCTTTGATTCGGCCGTTTCGAGACCCAGCACATACCGTGTTCAGAACGTGCGTGTTAATGCGTCTCTTATTGGTTCAAAGTGTTGGACCACGTTTTGGCGAACGTATCGCGCCAGACGTACGCTTTCAATATACGTGTTGGTCTCCGTGTTCACACGCTACGGGTTGCGTGCCTCAATAGAGGCTAATGATCTCCAAGGTCGATGTTTCCCCTTCTGAGCTGGTCCCCCCCTGACGTCGCCCCTCACGGAGGTAGGAGGCGCCCCCCCCCCGCACTCCTGGAGCCACCTGGGACAGCATGCTTCGGGAGCCTTGAGACGGGGGTCAGTACAAATGGAGCCCGTCAGAGCGCCAGATCTTGCAGGATGCTGCGGAGCCAGGGCTACATTGACCCGGACCAGCGTGCAGGATCCTGCAGGATCTTGCGAGGCCTGACTGACCCAGATCTGCGCTGACCTGAGTCCGTGCGTCCCCGAATGCTCCAAGCCGCCGCCACGCCCGCCGTCCGGAGGTGACGGCCGATAGTGTCTCCATGCGGCCCAGCGCTCCGCCAGAGCCGCCTGGCGCAGGCCCTCGAGCCCAGAACTGAAGAGGCCGAGGCCGAAGTGGCCTCGGCGGGAGGAGGAGGAGGAGGAGGAGGAGGAGGAGGAGGAGGACGAGGACGAGGAGGAGGAAGAGGAGGAGGAGGAGGAGGAAGAGGAGGAGGAGGAGGAGGAGGAGGACGAGTGCGCAGAGCAGTGGCATAAGAAAGGCAAAGAGCAGGAAAAGGACGAGCGCGCGCAACACGACGGTAAGGAAAATAGCCAAAGGGCGATCTAAGACGAAGCCAAAAGCAGGCATCGTCAGAGGAGAGGAGTGGACGGGGGTCTCCCCGCCACTCCCCCGTGAGGGGGTCCTTACCCACCTTCAGGGACCTGAGGTAGGTGGCATCCTTACTGGATGCAAGACCCTCGCAGTGGCCCCAGAGCCGCGACCGAGAGGCCGACGGCTGGGCCCTGGCGCCGCAGCGCAGGCAGAATGCCAGGGTGGCTCCAGCCATGTACACCTGACGCCCCCGTGAGCTACCAGGCCCGTCAGGGCCTTGAGCGGGGAGGGGGACGTCAGGGAGGGCAGCATCATGCGAGGCCCAGGATAACCCCCGCCGCGGACCCCCAGAGGCCCGAGCCCTCTTGCAGGGCGGAGGCCCACCAGGGCCGTCAGTGCGGGGGGGCCCACCGGGGCCTTCGGCGGGAGGAGGGGCCGAGGGCCGAGGGCCAGTCCTCGAAGTCGTCCCCCCCCCGACCTGGTGCGCGCACAGGGGGCAGGGGGGGGGGGGGGGGGCACGGGCTCCTCGGGGCCCCGGGGGCGGGCAGCCTTGGCCAGCCGACCCGCCGCCTCCTCGAGGTCCTCGTCCCGGTGCTCCGCCTCCGTCCTGAACCTCACCCGCTTGGAAGGCAGGGGCCGCTCAAGGCCCTTGGCAGCCAGAGGCGGCGGCTCCCTGACGTCGGCGGCGGCCCCATCAGGGCCGACCGCCGCACTGGCCTCGGAGGGGCCCTCGGCTCCAGCAGGCAGCTCCGAAGTGCCCAAGCCCACGGACCCCGACGCCACGCGGGAAGCCTCAAGTGAAACACCCTCGAGGCCCCAGAGGGCCGCAGCCTCGGCAACCCTACAAACACCCCGCTTGAGTCTCGAGGCGCCTTTGGCGGAGACCGCGAAAGCGGAGCTTCGATCGCAGGTCAATTTTCGGCCCCTGCGACGAATCAGGTGCAGGAAGGCGAGGGCCTCACGATCAGGAGGCCGCTCCCGCCCTGAGGCGCAGGCCCGGGCAGCAGGAGGAGGAGGCGGAGGAGGAGGAGGAGGAGGAGGAGGAGGAGGAGGAGGAGGGAGGAGGAAGGAGTGAGGAGGGGGGGGCGGTACAGACAAGGTACTCCGTGTACAATTGAACCGCCAAGGTACGACGTCTACGGCAAGCACACATGCGACATCCCCCGAGTGGCCCCGCCGCTCATTGCCTCCCCATTCCTCGGTGGCCTCATCGGGACAGAGGATGGTCAGCTGGTGGCCTCCCTCCTCCCCTCCCGCTTCAGAACGGGCTGGCCCCCGCGCCGGGGCCCGGTGGCACGCGCGCCGGCAGGGCGCGGCGTTGGGGGATGTGGGGGCCGCGTCCAGCGGCTGCGGAGAGGGAGGGGGGGAGGAGGAGGGGAAGGCAACTGTTGAGTGTCAGGTTCACGTGGGTCATACGTGAGGTGGTGCATGGTGAGCGCAGTATCGCTGGTGTCGGGAAGCCAATGGTGGTTGGAGGCGTCAGGTGGCAGAGCCCTGTCAGCTGGAAAGGCGTACGGTGTCCTACTGGCCCTTCCGTGCCCACCCCGTCTCGCACGCATGGTCTTCGCAGCCCCTCCCTGGTGGGAAGATGGGTACGCGGGCAGCACCAGCTAACGCCGCACGTATTGCGCCAGGGGTGGTGGGGATCTGCGAAGTCCTTCCTTCCATCCCCCGCCCCCCAACTTGTCGGTTGCCGATGGAAGCTTCCTGATGGTCTCCGACGCGGTCGGGTGACCTCGCCTTTTGGTGGTTGATGATCCCGGCCCGCTGCTGAGCCCTATGCCGGTTCTGGCTCCTCCTGCCCCCTCCCAAGGGTGACAGCGCACAAGGGGCGGGGGGTGTACAGGCGAGGAGTCACGCCGCAGCCGCCGCCGCCTCCTCGCCGCGTCACACCCCCGTCGATCACCTCGCTCCTGCTCTCCCAAGGAACCCCTTCGAAAGACAGCACAAAACACTCCGACGCCCCCCGCCTCTGAACCATCCCTACTCCGTCCCCCCTTTGAAGTCTTTGAGCTCTTGGAAGTTAGTGGAAGGAGGAAGGGGGTGATGAGGAGGATGAGGGAGGGGTAGGTGGAGGAGAAGGTGCACCAGGCATCAGGAGTCATGGATGGCTAGTCGTGGCAGCAGCAAGAGCATCAGCAGCAAAACAGGCGCCAGGGAAGGGGCAGGCAGCGGGTGTGTTACAACTTAGAAGTAGGCATGGGCGTCGTCATCATCAGCTGCAGCAGCATCGACTGCATCGGGAGCATCAGCAGCAGGGGTAGCAGGAGGAGGCGAAGGAGGGGGGAGGGCGATGGGGAGGGCCTGGGCGTTTCGCTTGAAACTTCCTCACCATGTATGATTTGAAGCTTGCAGTTCATGAAAGTTGTAATCATGGAGGGCGGAGCGTTTTCGAGGTGTGGCTCTTATTCTAGAGCGCCGCGCACAGCTCTTCTAAATTATTGCAGCAGCTTCACGGGTGGAGGGCGGGTCGTTTTCAAAATGTGGTCCTCGCCCTGGCGCCGCGCACATTCGTTTTGACGGCTTGTCACGGTTGTACAGATGGAGGTCGGGTCGAATTCAAAATATGGCTCCTCTCGCATGATGCGTATATTCGTTTTTCACTGCAACAGCTTAAGATGGAGGGCGGGTCGTTTTCAAAATGATGCTTTCGCATGAGCGCTGGGCACATTCCGTTCGTGGTAAAGGGCTGCAGCAGCTTTAAGGATGTACAGTTGTTTCTCGAATTTTGGCTCTCGCTTTAGCCCCGCGCGCATTCGCTTCACATGTCACGGTCGTTCCCAGGATTCGTACGATTGAAGTCCCAGGAGCGGTGTTCTGGCACGATGTGGGATTGTCGGGACGCAACAGGTTGTGCTGATTCGCGGCTTTGAAGCTCCAGGAACGGCGACTTGGCGCGCTTCAGGGCTGCCCGTGCGCAACAGTCACGTGGATCCGCGGCGTTGAAGACCCAGGACCAGTGCCTTGGCACGACTGAGGATGTTTAGGCGTATGTCTTCGAATGGGCCACTTCCCGCAATGAAAATAATTCTTATAGGTGACGGGGAAATTTGGAGGGAAGGCTTCAATATCGTTGATGCGTCTTGGGTTTCCACCGGTCCTCCTCTTGAGGAGGATGGGCTCCCTGCCGGGTCGGCCCTGGGCGCGAGCCTCCTCGAGCGTGACGCGGACGCCGAGGGTTTGAGGAGGCATCTGGCCTTGAGGCCTCCGATTCTGGGCCTGACCAGGCTCCCTGTACTAGCTTTTGACCGCTGCCTAATCTCATCACATTCTCCTCCTCCTCCTCCTCCTCCTCCTCCTTCCCCTCCTTCCCCTCCCCCGTTAAGCTCCGAATGGCCGAGCCCCTCAGCCATTCACACGCGGAGGGAGTCTCAGCTTTACTACTCCTCTGAACCAATCGTAGAGTGGTTGCGTTACTCGTCTTCTTGGGTACAGTCAAACCCACATAGTTAGAATGAGCGACTTTACAAGGCTACCCTTGCATCCTTCCCCTCCGGCCCATCCTTGGCCGCCTTCGCCGGCCGCGCCCCGCTCGCAGAGTGTCGGCAGGGCCTTCCCAGGCCCTTGCATCCAGATCGTGCGTCCTTCTGATACGGGTTGACTGCACGTGGACTCCTCCATCTGAATCAGTGAATCAGTCATCAAGTGGTCGCGTGACCCGTCCTGTCGGGGTACGTAGACTCCTGCCGGGGTACGTCGGCGGCGAGCCTGGGGGAAGTGACAAGGGGCGGGCCTTCTCAGAAGGCTCGGAAGTCCCCTGGCCTTCTGGGAAGTGTTCTAAGCCTTCCCCGAAGGCACACAACACTTCTCAGAAGGCGCGAGGGCTTCTGAGAAGTCCCGCCGCCTCCTGGCAAGGCCTTCTCCTTCTCGCTTCCCCTTCTCGCTCGCCGCCGATCTTGGGATCCTGCTGCGCCTGGCCGTCGCCCGCAGCGCCGTACAGCCCGGGGAGCCCCCCCCCCCACCGAAGGCCGCCGCGTCCCTGCAGGAGGCCGCCGCGCAGCTCCTGGGGGCGGCCACGGGCCTCGACGGCGGCGCCCGCCGCCCGCCGTTGCTGCCTGCCGCCGCCGCCGCCGCCGCGGCCCGACGGCGCGCGACGGCGAGGCTGCCGCCGCGGAGCGACGAAGGGCCTCCTCCTCCCTCCTCCCTCCTCCCTCCTCCCTCCTCCCCTCCTCCTCCTCCTCCTCCTCCTCCTCCTCCTCCTCCTCCTCCTCCTCCTCCTCCTCGTCCTCACTCCTCCTCGAGAATGGCGAGGATGCCGCCACCGCCGCCGAGGGACGGCGAACGCCGCCGCCGCCGAGGAGGACCGACGAGCGCCGAGGGATGGCGGCCCGAGAGGAGGAGCGCCGCCGCCGAGGGATGGCGACGAAGCTGACGGCGAGGGCGGCGACGAGGGACGGCGAGGGAGGACGGGTCAGCGGACGAGGAGCGGTATAGCGGACGAGGGATTCCGAGGGACGGGTTCGCGGAGCATACACATAAACTTTTGGCGCTCCGCGCGTATTTCTTGGATGCGCGTTGGGCCCCCCCGGACGGCGCTTCCGGCGCCGCCCCTGGAGCGCTCCGCGCGCCAGGGAGAGGGGTCCAGCGCGGAGCGCGGACGTCTATGCCGTTATTCTTCTTCTACCATTCCCTCCTCGTCTCTCCTCTCTCGTCTGCTATCGCCGCAGCTCCTCCTCCCCCCCTTTCCACCGCTTCCTTTGCTGCTGCGGCGTGTTGGGGAGGGTGGCTTGGTGCCAACTCGCCGGATGAAGAGCAGATGTGTGCCTAGAAGCAGCAGGTAAGCAAGCATTTGAAAACCAGAGACTGAAAATCGTCGTGTTCTTATTCATTGTCTTGCGGATCGGCGCGGGCCGCTGAGAGGAAAACGCGTCCTGAGTCGTTTTAGCGAGGTGTACAGAGCATTGACCAGATCATGGCTTCCAAACTGCTCAGTCTGACACTTTATCGGGCTGAACCTGGGGTTACGGGAGGAAGCAAACCTCCTACACTTGGAGCAGAAGCGAAAATTTCTTTCAACACACAGGCAGTGGGATGGGTGCAGCCTCTTACCAGTGAAAGACTTGCCGTTCAGCCGAAAAGGAGGGTCGGAGAACAACAGGGAGGCAAGAAGATGTTCACCAAGGGGCGAAAGCCTGAGCATGGATTCGGCAAGCTGCACAGCTCCAGGCGCCCTCCTTCCTCCACCCGCCGCCCACTCCCTTGCAGGAAAAGAGGGAGGAGAGGAGGAGGAGGAGGAGGAGGAGGAGGAGGAGGAGGGAGCAGGACGTCGTCCGATTTACTTCTTCAAGGTAGATCACCCCGTTGCCGCCATGTATTGCGATGGCTGCGCAGTTCGCCTGGAATTCGCGAGGGCTGGGCCAGCTGAGTGAGGGACGAGCGCACGTAGAGCAAACACAATCGAGTTCTATGCGCAGCGCGCGTGATTCGGATGTCGCGAGATCAGACGTCGCTGCAATGTCACAGCATCGTGAATGGAGCTACGACTGGAGCTGGCGACACCATCTTCCTGCTGCATTTTTCGAGCTGGATCTATGAACGAGGGTCCCATTGACACGAAGCGGGGCATAAAAGACCACCGTGACGTTTTCACAACGCCCAGATCTTGAGGGTCAAGAGGACATTTCCCCCCGGCATTTCCCAGACAGTGCTGGGCCTCAGGGGACGAGGACGACGACGATGAGGACGGCGACGAGGAAGACGACGACGACGATGAATTTGACGAGCTCGGCGACGATGATGGCGAGGACGACGGCGACGACGACGCTGACGGCGAG